AGCTAATTTTATAGATGGGGTCTTTGAAAATTTGATTCTTGGATTGCTCTATAACTCTCCTTGCATTATCTTTTTAGTCCTCTCCAAGTGGACTTCAACTCTTCACTGGACCAGAACTGCTCCTGCCACTCACTTCCATGGGGCCGAATCCGGGGGTCATTTCTCAGTCTTCATCTTACTCTGTCTGCATCATTGACACAATGGATCCCTCTCCTTCTTAAAGCACTTTATTCAGTTGGTCACCAGGATGTCTCACTTGCCTTGTTTTCTGCCTCCTTCCTTAGCCTCCCTTTCTTGCCCTCCTTTGCTATCTCTTCCCCGCTCCAGCCTCTGAGCATCAGAATGCCCAGGGCTGTCCTTGTTTCTTTCCTCCTTTCTGACTACTCCTCTAGTCTCCTCTAGCCTCATAGCTATAAATATAATCTCTATGCTGACAGCTCCTGCATTTATATCTATAGGCCAGACGTCACTCATAAACTCCACATTCACATATCCAACTAATTCCTCAACATCTCCATTTACTTTGCCTCTTTCCTCTCACTGGAATATAAGTTCTGTAAGGGTAAGAACTTTGTTTTACTCACTGCTATATTCCCTAACATTAAAAGAGTGCCTGGTACATAGTAGATGCTCAATAAATATTTGTTGAATTGAATGTTTTCCTGTAGAAAGAACAGACTTTAGACCGGGCGTGGTGTCTCACACCTGTAATCCTAGCACTTTGGGAGGCTGAGGCAGGCGGATCACCTGAGGTCAAGAGTTTGAGACCGACCTGACCAACATAGAGAAACCCCCTCTCTACTAAAAATACAAAATTAGCCGGGCATGGTGGCGCATGCCTGTAATCCCAGCTACTCAGGAGGGCGAGACAGGAGAATCACTTGAACCTAGGAGGCGGAGGTTGTGGTGAGCCGAGATCATGCCATTGCACTCCCGCTCAGGCAACAAGAGCTAAACTCCATCTAAAAAAAAAAAAAAAAAGGTGTTTGTAAGTCTTACAATAACCTCTAGGGACCTCTCATTTCCTGGAAGAATGTTCTGTACAATTTATTCTGTCATTCACTTGCTTTCTAGTAATAGTTTGAGCCCTCCTGGTGCCATCTTCTGTTTGAGTCAAGATAGTCTCGGAAAGCCAAACACAGTGGTTCACACTTATAATCCCAACATTTTGGGAGGCCGAGGAGGGAGGATCACTTGAGCCCAGGAGTTCGAAGCCAGCCTGGGCAACATAGGGAGATCCCATCTCTACAAAAATAATTTCTAAGAAAATATTAGCCAAGAGTGGTGGCTTGTGCCTGTGGTCCTAGCTACTTGAGAGCGGAGGTGGAAAGATAGTGTTAGCCTCGGACGTTGAGTCTGCAAAAGCCATAATTGTGCTACTGCAGCGCAGCACTCCAGCCTGGGCAACAAAGTGAGACTCTGTCTCAAAAAAAAAAAAAACCTTGGCCAATCACACTACCATGTCCCTTTAATTGACCAAGATAATACATATTAAACCTGTACCACAGGGCCTAACACATAATGAGCACACAGTAAGTAGATGGAGGCCTTACTCTCAGCTTTTTCTGCCTTCTTCCTTCTTGCCACAGGACCGCCTGGCCCGGTGCACCATGCATTGCAACGACAAAGCCAAAGATTCAATAGATGCTGGGAGTAAGGAGCTTCAGGTGAAGCAGCAGCTGGACAGTTGTGTGACCAAGTGTGTGGATGACCACATGCACCTCATCCCAACTATGACCAAGAAGATGAAGGAGGCTCTCTTATCCATTGGGAAATAAAAGTCTTTGCCACTGGCCATCGGGGCTGAGGGCAAGAATATATTTTTTATAAGGAATTGAGAATTTTAGTCTTTTAAGCAAGGTTTACAAATGAAGAAATGAAGGATGGCCACAAGTGTAAGGCATATGTCACTTGCCTCTGGACACTGGTTATTTTATGTTTCAGTCCTAAAAAAAATGAAATGGAAAAAAGTGGTGCTAAATCGGGTCAGAGAGATTACAGGAGAGTTTTAGAGCTTATTATTTCCTGTGGCCAGCGCTTGTCCTGGCAATAAGGCTCTCCCCTGTAACAAGCCAGAGCCTTCCAAGGTACCAGACTCTTCTTACTGCACAGGTAGTAACAGGCTGGCAGGTTAGAGTTGGTGGAGTCTGAGAAGAAATATTTTCTCTTTGTTGCCAACATCCTGTTTACCAGAAGTGTCACCATACCATTTTCCATAAGCTGTGAAACAAAATCAATGAGGTCACTAACTTGGAAAGAAAGTTTTCTGGGTCTTTGTTTTGTAGGTTTTGGGTAATTTATACAAGGACATACAAGTTGATCTTAAGATGTGGAATTGGGAGGGAGACTAGTTTGGATAAGAACTTTGAAAGGTTCCTTGTGGATCCCCATTTCTGGTCATCAAGATGTGGATGTATGTTTCTTAAAGTTATTACATGCTGCATCTTTCAGCCTGGAGACCATGCAGAAACATGAGAGGTGATGACACACTAATTATGGGAAGCAGAATTACTGGCTGATGGCCCCTGAGGCTGTGTATAGCAAAATGACAGGACAATCCTGCAGTAACACTTTTCCCTTGAAGAGAAGGGGGTTTTGATTGTGATATATACTAGTATCTAGGAATGAACAGTAAAAGAGGAGCAGTTGGCTACTTTATTATAACAGAGTAATGAAGTACTGGATTTGGAAAAACCTGGTTTTATTAGAACAGATGGAATGAAAGCCTAAACCTAACATTGCCTACTTAGCCCCCTGAATTAACAGAGCCCAATTGAGACAAACCCCTGACAATAGGAATTCAAGGGAGAAAAAGCTGACTCCCTTAGAGCAAAGGAGAGGCAGCCCCCATTACCAAATACCATTCTTGTCTGGGGCTTGTGCAGCTGGCAGTATTCCTGCCCTGGCGTGGCAACTTACTGTTTTGATAGCAACTTCGTTGTATTTTCACCAACTTATTACTTGAAATTATAGCCTGTCCATTTGCTGTTTCTAGGCTGTGACATATTTTCTTAGTGGTTTGGTTTTAAAAATAAATAAGGTTTAATTTTCTCCCCACTATTGTGTTTTCTTTCCTTATATCTGGGCAGTGAATATATAACTTTCTCAGGATGCTTCTCCTTTTAAAAGGTTAAATGAGTTTAAAATGTCCAGAAGAGCAGAAATTAGTTGTTATGGTTCAGATTCAGAACTGGTTCATTGTAAATGGGAAAAACTTTGAGAGAAGACTAGGACATTGTGACTCGAAGTTCATTAATGTAGAAAAGAAACCATCTATGAGGCTAAAAAGAGAAATTCATTATCTATGTCAGTCTCTAGCTTCAACTAAACACTAATAGCAAGTGGTAGTAAAGGTACAAAGCTATGACCCTGCTAGAAAAAAATAGAGTGTCTAAGATTTTGAGTACTAAGAGAGTGCAAAATATGTGATGAGTTTAAGTCTTTACTATCATTGGTATTTAAATAGAGTCATTCCAGAATATCAGGAATTAACTGAATTTTTGAGAACCATCCCCTATTTAAAATCAACACGGCATTCTATTTTGGTTTAGTCGTCTATAATCCGTGCATTCTCCTATTTTGGGGTAACATAACTGGGAACAAGTCCGAGGCCACTTTTTACACATCTTGACATGAAAAAGGAATACCTTGTATTAGAGAATGTTTGTGTGCTGCACTTCACGTTTTATATACGGGGCAATGGCACATCAGTGAGTTCTGGAGGTAATGTTTGAAAAATTGCAGAACTGCCAGGCATGCTGGCTCATGCCTGTAATCTCAGCACTCTGGGAGCTGGAGGCAGGCGGATCTCTTAAGGCCAGGAATTCGAGAACAGCCTGGGCAACAAAGCAAGACGTCGTCTCTACAAAAAAAAAAAAAAAATTAGCTGGGTGCAGTGGCTTGCGCCTGTAGTCTAAACAACTCAGGAGGCTGAGGTGGGAGGATTGATTGAGGCCAGGGGTTCGAGGTTGCAGTGAGCCATGATCACATCATGCATCCCAGCCTGGGTGACAGAGCAAGACCTCATCTCAAAACAAAAAAAATTTTTTTTTTGCAAGACCCATCAGTCGGAAATAGATTGAAATTCTTGGAGACAGGCCCAGTCACCTTACTCTCCAATGGTGCAGAGGCTGCTAATTTGCATGTTACCGGAACCCTACTTGGTCTGAAAGTATGCTGTAGGATACCTGCCAAAGAAATATAGAGGCCCGGCTGGGCGCGGGTGGCTCACGCCTGTAATCCTGACACTTTGGGAGGCCGAGGCGGGCGGATCATGAGGTCAGGAGATCCAGACCATCCCAGCTAACACAGTGAAACCCCATTTTTACTAAAAATACAAAAAATTAGCCGGGCGTGGCGGCGTGTGCCTGTAGTCCCATCTACTCAGGAGGCTGAGGCAGGAGAATGGCGTGAACTCAGGAGGCGGAGCTTGCAGTGAGCCGAGACCGAGCCACTGCACTCCAGCCTGGGGGACAGAGCGAGACTGTCTCAGAAAAAAAAAAGAAATATAGAGGCCCATTCCTCCAGGGATCATTATTTGGTATTTTGGTATATATGAAGAAAACAAGCGATACGATCCACAGACATGCGGGATTTGCCGGGTTTGCCCAGAAGTTAGAGAGGGGGCTATTATCTCAGTATTTCAACTTTATTTTTTAAATAGAGGAGGGGTCTCCCTATGTTGCCCAAGCTGGTCTCGAACTCCTGGGCTCAAGAGATCCAAAGTTCTGCGATTTACGGCGCCAGGCTTTTTTTTTTTGTTTTTTTTTTTTGTTTGTTTGGTTTTTTTTTTTGGCTGTTCCATAGACAAGAACACGGATACTCCATCGTCAGAATACTCGTTATCTCAATTTTGCACAAGGAAAACCGAATTTAGAAAGGTGCCTAGAGGGCCCACCCCTCTGTCCTGGCCAATCGCTGACGACGCAACCGGAAGCTCAGCAATGACCGAGGCGCTCAGATATCGCGAGGTGAAGTGTTAAAAACTGCCAACAATCGATTGGCTAACTAGGTCCATGACGCCAAACGCAAGACGCCGGGCCTACCGCGGGAGCCTGAGGGAAGCCGTGCATTCAGTTCTAAGGCGTCTGTGAGCCCGCGGAGTATACGCCATGAGCAAAGCTCACCCTCCCGAGTTGAAAAAGTAAGTATGTGTGAGAGCCAAACCGAAGTGGTCGCTTCTTTGCGTCCCCCGAGTCCCTTGGTGTTTCAAGCCGAATGGCTTGAGCCGCTTTACCTTATTTCTTCTTCCGGTCCGAGGTCGCCGGGATCCCGGCCAGGCTCCGGCGCATGAGACGTGAAGCCCGCGCAGAGCTCGCGCGTTGGCGTGGTTACCGCCGGCAGCCACCGCACCTCCTTCTGGCCGACTAGTCTCTCTGTCCCGCGCTCCGGCCCCTAGTCACCCGGCGCTGTCCCTCGTTCCTTGAAGATCTCCAATGCCAGCTTTTGTTGAACATCTCTAATAGCATCATATTCTAGATAGACGGCTAGAGGGGGAAATTCTCTAAAGGAACTAAGGAGGGGATGGAAGGGAAGTGTTTTTAAAACTACGCGAGGCATCGGAATCCAAAAGCCACTTTAGCCTTAGAGAATGTGTTTGTAGGTATTTCTTTGAGCTTTTACTTAGAAACCTCATTCTTTTTTCTTGCCTATTTTTACATTAAGCTTGAATGTCATGTGTTATCTTGCTCTGATATTGAAACTATGTAAGGACATTCATTTCTAAAATTAATGTTCTAAAAAATAAAATTTTTTTTAGAATATTCATTTTTTTCTAATCAGAGAAGGCTATTTTTTTGAAGTTTTTTTTACACACCCAGTAAAGACAAACAACTTTAAGGAGGAGAGCCTTAATTTATGTAGGACTCAACGTAAAACTTTAAACTCCTCAAATACTTTTTGACTGGACTTAACAGGTTATGTGTTTCCTCAGTACGTCTCTGTTTTGCTTGTACTCCCTGATGCTGGAATTCTACATGTATTAATTGGATTGCACAGAGGATGCAAAATTTTTACAGGAATCAATTTTTTCTGGTGTAGCATGTGGTTGGCTTTGTGTATAGTTCATTTATTACCAGGCCCCTGGAAGTCAGACATAAGGAAAAGTTCCTATTTAATAATTTTGCGGCCAGTGGCGGTGACTCACGCCTGTAATCCCAGCACTTTGGGAGGCCAAGGTGGGTGGATCACCAGAGGTCAGGAGTTCGAGACCAGCCTGGCCAACATGGTGAACCCCCCGTCTCTACTAAAAATACAAAAAATTAGCCAGGAATGGTGGCGCGCGCCTGTAGTCTCAGCTACTCGGGAAGCTGAGGCAGGAGAATCGCTTGAACCCGGGAAGTGGAGGCTGCAGTGAGTCAAGATCTCGCAATTGCCCTCCAGCCTGGGCAACAAGAGCGAAACTCTGTTTCAAATAATAATAATATTGCATTTAAAGGTATATTTGTATCAAAGCCATCTTTTGTATGAAAACTACTTTCATGTATATTTTAGTTAGGTCTGTTAAGGAATTAATTATTAAAACATAGCCCAACGTTAGAAAAATAGAAGTTAGAAATTATTGTGAAAATTATTCTTTTTATCTGAAAGTTATTTTATTGGTGAGTTGGTGATGTAAGTATCCTCTGGATTCATCAGGGACTGGTGAAATGGTGATTTTTCTTTTTTTAAACAAAAGGACCATTCTCTACTTGTAATCTAAGATTTTATTTGTGATTCATAACATAGATTTTGAAAATTTCAGAGAAGGAAGCTAGTTTTAATACCTTTCTCTTCTCATCCGTAGGTTTCATGAATTGTGAAATCCCGTGAGATCTGCCGTCAAAATGACTTTCAAATTTTTTCTTCCTTTGCTTTCTCACTGATAGCATCTTCTTTTACACCATTATGCCCTCTTTCTGGCTTAGCGTAACTCAGGGGTTCTTAAATGGGGGGTAAGGAATCTGGTGACACCAGGGATGCTGCTAAACATCCTACCGTTTTTCGGCTGCCCCCAACAATACAAAATTACCTGGTCCCAAATGTCATTAGTGCAGAAGTTGAGATACACTGGCTTAACCGAATTCTTCCTTCCACTTCTTAAAATTTGCTGCCACAGTGGTCTTGCCAGTGACAGCTTTAATAATTTATCACAGTATGCAAAACTGAATCTATACTTAAGCCAGCATTCAAACGCCAAACCTTACAGCTGCTAATACTCACGTGTTCCCTTCTCTCGTCAGACTGAACTATTTGTGTTTGCTCTCACTTGCTGTGTGACTTCGAAAAATTGATTTACCTTTTCCAAGCCTAGTTCTCCATCTGTAAAAACGGTAGAAATGACAGACCATAATTGCATGCAAAGTCATTGTAAAGATTGTATAAGATCTTGTGTTATATTTGATATGTTACTATAATCTATTAAATAGTTTTGTTCATCATACTTATAAAATGATGGTGGGTTATACTATTAATAATATAATATCGTAATATATATTACATATATACATTACATATATGTATACTAATATACATATGATAATAATACATATATATTATATGTTCATATTTTATATATATAATGTATATATATTTTTTTTTTTTTTTTTTTTGAGATGGAGTTTCACTCTTACTCCCAGGCTGGAGTGCAATAGTGCAATCTCGGCTTACCGCAACCCGTGCCTCCCGGGTTCAAGCAATTCTCTCCTGCCTCAGCTCCGAGGAGCTGGGAACTACAGGCATGCACTACCCACACCCGCCTAATTTTTTTTTTTTTTTTTTTTTTTAGTAGAGACGGGGTTTCTCCATGTTCATGTTCATCAGGCTGGTCTTGAACTCCCGACCTCAAGTGATCCACCTGTCTCAGCCTCCCAAAGGGCTGGGATTATAGGCGTGAGCCACTGCACATGGCCCATAAATATATTTTCACTTGTAAATGTATCTACTCCCTCCTTCAGTCATGCTCCTTGTTTTATATTTACATTCTCCCATGATAATCCTATACATTAAAATTGACTAAGTGCCCCACTTCATGGCCCATATACTAAACTTTTTTTTCCATTTTTTTATATTTTAAAATTTGAGTGAAATTTCATGTTTTCTGGCCTATAAATGGAAGAGGTTAAAAACTGGTTTGACTGATGGCTTAGTATTCTCGTATTCCACTAAAATAGAATTTTCTTTTAATTCATATTGTTTGAAGTTTCAAATGTGCATTTATTATACTAAAGTATACTTAAATGTTGAAGACTACCCTGAACATTTATGCTTGATGCTTTAATATTAAATGAACACTATTTATCTCAAATATAAAATACTTGTTGAATTGGATATGATTTGATTACTGTTTGCTGTCTTTACAACTTAGTTTTGGAAATAACCAAATGTAGGCAAGTCTTTGTTTTTCTCTTATGACTATAAAATCCAATCATTGAAAATTAGGTCAGCGAGACCAGATGTGGTAGCTCATGCCTGTGTAATCCCAGCAGCACTTTAGGAGGCTGAGGGGGAGCATATTTTTTGAGGCCAGGAATTCAAGACCAGCTTGGCAACATAGTGAGACTCCATCTCTTTAAAAAAAAAAAAAAAGAAAGAAACTTCGGTCAATGAAGCAACATAGTGTTGAACAATAAGAATGTTTTCATAATTCACATTAGTATACTCTACTTTATGTAGATTAATATAGTTCACATATATTTCATTTTTATTGTCTTTCCTCTTCCCAAGTTACTTTGCGTCGTAGAATGTCTACTTTAGGTAACCCTTTATGCCCCCTCTCTCTTTTTTTTTAACCTGAGACAGGGTTTCACTCTACTGCCCAAGCTGGAGTGCAGTGGCGCATTCATGGCTCACTGCAGACTCAACTTCGCAGGCTCCAGTGATTCTCCGACCTCAGCCTCCTAAAGTGCTGGGATTACAGGCATGAGCTACCTCGCCCTACTCCCTCACTCTTTACAGCAATACAGTATTTTTACTATTTTAAATTTCATTATTCCCATTGTATAAATTTTAGCAAATTATCTTAACTGTACCTATTTATGTACTTGTTTATGCTTAAGTTTTTTTAATTGGTTATATAATCTTTACCCTTTTCCTTTTTCAGATTTATGGACAAGAAGTTATCATGTAAGTTTGTTGTTGTTTTGGAGTTTTTTTAAATCATTCAGTTGCTTTTTACGTGTGTCTTAGCAATATGTTTGGAGCAACTTTATAAAAATTTAAAGCACACAGGACCTCTAATTCACATCCATTAATTAAACGGATTACTTAATCCTAACTTGACAATTTTATTTACCTAATTTCTGATATTGAATTAATTTAACAGCAATTCAGACTTTATCTTATATAAGCCTTTCCTCACTCTGGCAAAATTAACAGGATTTATCAACCTTTTTAATTTAAACAAACTACAAAGGACTTAGACAAGGAACAATTATTTTGTTTCTTGGGAATATGTAGGAATAACAGATTTGTTCAATTTATCTAAAAATCTGACCCACGCAGTACTTGAAATATATGTAGGGGAAAAAACCGTGAGTGTTAGAAGCAAGCAGCCTTCAGCTTGAGTCTCACTTCTACCATACAGTAGCTGTATAACCATGAACCCAGTTACTTAAAAGCTTGGGCACAGTGGCTTACACCTGTAATCCCAGCACTTTGGGAAGCCAAAGCAGAAGGATCCCTTGAGCTCAGGAGTTGGAGACCAGCCTGGGCAACATAGGGAGCCCCCATCTTTATAAAAATTTTAAAAAGCTCTAAAGTTTAGTTCTGTCCGATAAAGTAAGGATACTACTACTTTTTAGGATTCTTATAAATTAAAATGTGGAAGTAAATACAAAAATGTTTAACCCAGTTCTTGGCATACAGTAAGGATAGTGGGTCAAACATCTCAAATACTTGTGTTTTATCCCACCTGATTTCTAGTGAATGCTTGATAGCTAATGGACAGTTTATCTAAAACATCTTTTTCCCTTTTTAATAGTGAAATTAAATGGTGGCAGACATGTCCAAGGAATATTGCGGGGATTTGATCCCTTTATGAACCTTGTGATAGATGAATGTGTGGAGATGGCAACTAGTGGGCAACAGAACAATATTGGAATGGTGGTAAGTAAAGATACAAGATTTCTCTTGGATATTTCATTTTTCTTTTGGAATGTGTATTAACTTTCCTAGTTAGTAACCCCCAGAAATGGCAAATAATAGGCAAGATTAGACTTTCCATCTCCTTTTTAGTTGAACATATGGCAGTTACACAGATGTGGTAATATCCTGGTTACCTGTAGGTAATATCTCAACTATACAGAACCTAAGGTCCTAGGGCTTGAAACAGCTGTTGGAAATCCTTTTTGAGCTTTATTCTACAATAGAGGCTCATAGTTGGTCCTTCATTAGAGCAGGAGTTCTGAAACCTTAACATGTATATGAATCCCCAGGGAATCTTGTTAAAATGAAGATTCTACTTCAGTAGGTGTGGGGCGGAACTTATTAAGGTTTTGCATTTTTGCTAATGCCTAATGCAGATCTGCCAGTTCACAGATAACACTTTCTGATTTTACTTGCATACATAGTTAACCTGGGTTTTCTGGTTTACCATACCCAAAATTTTAAGGTAGCCAAGGTAAACGTTACAAGGGATAATCACAGTGACAGTTATTCACATGAGAGAAAAAGCAGGAAAAAATTAAAAAGCACATACTGAGCCCTCATAGGATTAAACATTCCTACATTCATTGGGCTGTAGTTTTAGTGATTACTGAAGAAGAGTTTTGATACCCCCACTTTGAGTCCTTCTTTGTCTAACACAGGACAACATACCTAATAAAGTGGTAGACCCAAAGTTATTGAAAAAGGTGAGCCAAAAAGGACAACTTACTTTTAGCAAATTATTAAGCATAAAGACCTCCAAGGAGTGTTAAGAGTTGCTAATTATTAGCCTTGATTTATTAACTTTGATTTTTAAGTTTGAGCAGTACAGTTGAAGATAGACCTATTTTGACATCTCTGCCTGTTTAATTTTTTTACATACCATTCTTTCTAAGGTTTGTGTTATTACTTATTTCAGATACTTATTTCGGATACTTATTTCAGTTACTTTTTCATTACTATATTTTGAAAAGCAAATCGATAGTCATGACTGAAAAAACAGTTTAGAGTCTCCAGATACCACACTGTACCCCCAAGTTCCTTGTAAATTGACTTGTCTTTCAGGTATATTCCCTTGTGAGCTTCTGTTGAATAAGGCTGCCAGCATCATTAGTAGACAAGTCCTTATAAAAACACTTTCTAGATACCCCAAGATTTTCCTCTAAGCCCTTATTTTTACAAATAAATTTTCATTCTAATAGAAGCTGGATTCGGTTTTTAGTTCCTTGCAACAAATTTGCTGAAAAGGATTCAGGAAGGAATCCTAATTGTCAATTCTGCTTTGAGAAAATTAGAGAATTATATAACACACTGCTCATTGGAATTTTATCAGAGAAGGAATAGAGCATCCCTCTGTCAATTTTCCCCCAAAACTTTATGGACTTAATTTTCTTTGTACAGAAATTAGTTGAAAGCACTGCCATCCCAAGTCATTTAAGTAATGATTACCTACTTAGTGTGTTGGGCAGCCTCCTGTTCCATCTCTGAGGTTTAGGTGACACACACACCCCCAACCCCCAGCCGAAGAAAAAAAAAGTTTTCATCAACAGACAATGATTCTTGCTGCTGAGTCTTCACTTTGAAAAAGAAATAATAATACATCAGTCTTCTTTAATAAAAAGACATTTTAAAAGGCAAGAACAGAGATGAACTTTTTGACTTTTCTAAAGTTGGAAGAAGGGAAACAAATAGGTTAAGATTTTGTTCATTTTGTTAGAAGTTGTTTGACAAAGGACAGTTGGTTTCGATATTACCTTGTCCAAGTCAGTGATCCATTGAGGCCACTGAAATTACTTAATACTGTTTTATCACAGTTATGTGTGTATTGGCTGGGCACAGTGGCTTACATCTATAATCCCAGCAGTTTGAGAGGCTGAAGCAGGAGGATCTCTTGAGCCCAGGAGTTCAAGATCAGCTTGGGCAACATAGTGAGACCTCATCTCTACAAAAAATTTAGAAAATTAGCTGGGCGTGGTGGTGTGCACCTGTAGTCCCAGCTACTCAGGAGGCTGAGGCAGGAAGATCACCTGAACCCAGGAAGTCGAAGCTGCAGTGAGCTGAGATCACACCACTGCACTCCAGTCTGTGTGACAGAGCGAGATCCTGTCTCAAAAAGAAAAAGGATGTGTGTGTGTTTTCAGGAGTTTGTTTTTAACCTGTCAGCTGGATCATTACCTAATGATAAATCTCAACTATTTCCTTTTTTTTTTTTTTTTTTTGAGGCGGAGTCTCGCTCTGTCGCCCAGGCTGGAGTGCAGTGGCCGGATCTCAGCTCACTGCAAGCTCCGCCTCCCGGGTTTACGCCATTCTCCTGCCTCAGCCTCCGGAGTAGCTGGGACTACAGGCACCCGCCACCTTGTCCGGCTAGTTTTTTGTATTTCTTAGTAGAGACGGGGTTTTCACAGTGTTAGCCAGGATGGTCTCGATCTCCTGACCTCGTGATCCGCCCGTCTCAGCCTCCCAAAGTGCTGGGATTACAGGCTTGAGCCACCGCGCCCGGCCCAATCTCAACTATTTTCTGAGACATCCCCAGAGTTGTCAGTGGCATCGCCTCTATCTTACATTTTATTATGTTACATAATTCAGGCACTCTTGCTAGAGTTGTGCTTCTGTAGCATCATTGAAGCACAACAAAAGGAGCAGTATGTAATTCTGGACCTGATGGTTCAAGTTTGATTTGGAGAATTAGGCCTCAAACACAGTGGCAAAGAGGAATAGCACTACAGTAGGCCTCCTTTATCCTCAGAGTAGGTACCAGAAACCACAGATAGTAGTGAACCCTTTGCACAAATTTTGTGTGTGTGTGTGTGTGTGTGACAGAGTCTCACTCTGTTACCCAGGCTGGAGTGCAAAGGTGTGGTCTCAGCTCACTGCAACTCCGCCTCCTGGGTTCAAGCGATTGTCCTGCTTCAGCTTCCCAAGTAGCTGGGCACCACCACACCCAGCTAATGTTTGTATTTTTAGTAGAGACAGGGTTTCAGTATGTTGGCCAGGCTAGTCTCAAACTCCTGACCACGTGATCCACCTGCCTTGGCCTCCCAAAGTGCTGGGATTACAGGCATGAGCCACCACACCTGGCCAGCACGAATTTCTTTTTACTGCTTCACAATCTCACAGAAGATTCGTCCTTACCATAAATCTTAGCAGTCTCAACATATGATTCTTTTTCTTATTAAGTCAAGAACTTGTACCTTTTCACTTAAAGGAAGCACTTTACAGCTTCTCTTTGGCATATCTATGTTGCCAGCATCACTGCTCTTATACTTTCAGGCTATTATTAAGTGAAATAAGGGTTACTTGAACACAGGTAACCCTTTGATAGCACAACAGTCAGTCAGAAAACTGAGATAACTGATTAATGGGCAGCATGGAGATGCTAGACAAAGGATAATCCACGTCCAGGGACAGTATCATCACACTGTGAGGTATCATCACACTGCTGAGAACAGCATGCAATGTAAAACTTATAGATTGTCTGTTTCTGGGATTATACATTTAATGTTTTTGGACCACAGATAAGATGGGACAAAGTTCACCATCTAACCTTATTTTCTAAATATCTGACAAGACAAGTGTGTAAATTTAGCAGGGAGGTAGGCAGGAAGACTAACTTTTCTTGCTTTGGTCAGTGAGATGTGATGTTCAACATCTGTTGCCAAAAAAAAAGTAGGGAATTTAAAAGTCTGATAACTGGCCAGGTGCAGTGGCTCACACCTGTAATCCAGCACTTTGGGAGGCCAAGGCAGGAGGATCACTTGAGACTAGGAGTTTGAGATCAGCCTGGGCAACATGGTGAGACCCTGTCTCTACAGAAAATTTAAAAATTAGCCCAGCTTGGTGGCTCATGCCTCTGGTCCTAGCTACTTGAGAGGCTGAAGTGGGAGGATCACTTGAGCCCAGGAGGTCAAGGCTGCAGTTAGTTGTGATAGAACCACTGCATTCCAGCTTGGGTTGACAGAGCAAGACCCTGTCTCAAAATAATAATAATAATAATTAAAATAAAATTCTGATAACTGGGTAAGCATATTTCTACTCCTGGCTTATTCTGGGCACGGTGATGTGCGCCTGTAGTCTCAGCTACTCAAGAGGCTGAGGAGGGAGAACCACTTGAGCCTAGGAATTTGAGGATGCAGTATGCAGTGATTGTGCCTGTGAATAGCCAGTCTACTGCAGTCTGGTTAGCATAGCTAGTCCCAGTCTCAAAAAAATGGAGGGGAGCTGTATTCTTACTGGGTTTTGTTGTTGGCTTGAGACAAAGTCTCACTCTGTCACTGAAGCCAGAGTGCAGTACCATGGAGCTTGGTTTACTGTGGTCTCAACTTCCCTGGGCTAAGTTGATCCTCCCACCTCAGCCTCCCGAGTAGCTGGAACAGAGGTGTACACCACCACCCTCAAATAATTTTTGTATTTTTTGTAGAGACAGGGTTTTACCATGTTGTCCAGACTGGTGTCAAACTCCTGGGCTCAAGCTATCTGCCCACCTGGGCCTCCCAAAGTGCTGGGATTATAGGCGTGAGCCACCGTGCCTACCCATTCTCTCTTAAATCTGCTCTTTACTACCTTATCATACTTATTGCTGATAATTGGCTGCCAGGTTCCAAGACACTTTTCCTACCAATTGTGTTCCCTTCTATTCTGTCAGCTGCAGTATTCACATGTGAGTTCTTTGATTCGTATTTACCAGGTACTTGAGCCCTCTGTGTGCCTGCTATTTTAGGCACTAGGGTTTTGCACCAAAGCCCCTGGCCTCATAAAATTTACATTTGCATGGAGAACACAATAAATCACAGTGTATGTGTAAATAAAACAAGCATGATACAGGGAGAAAAGAACAAGTTACAACTACTTTTACTCTAGCTGCCTATAAGCATAGCTCCAGTTTGAATCTTTTTAGAATGCCTCCATTTCTAATAAACACCTCAAAATTATTACATTACTTATCCTTTTCCTCCTATACCCCTCCATTCACCTATCCAGTTCTACTTGACTGATGGGTGATCTATCGATTATTATGATCTATGGTCTATTAGGGACTTCTTGTTTTTAGTCCCCTAGCCTTCCTGTTTCACTTATTTTTCTACCCCTCTTGAATTCATTTACCAGCTGATTCATCTATACTCTGATGTTTGTTTTTGTTTTGTTTTTTTGACAAAGGACAGTTTTGCTCTTGTTGCCCGCGCTGGAGTGCAGTGGCGCTATCTTGGCTCACCACAACCTCCACCTCCCGGTTTCAAGTGATCCTCCTGCCTCAGCCTCCTGAGTAGCTGGGATTACAGGCATGTGCCATCACACCCAGCTAATTTTGTATTTTTAGTAGAGATGGGGTTTCTCCATGTTGGTCAGGCTAGTCTTGAACTCCTGACCTCAGGTGATCCACCCACCTTGGCCTCCCAAAGTGCTGGGATTACAGGCGTGAGACACCACACCCCCTGATAAGTATTCTTATCTTCATTTATGGCTTATCTACTAGGTCAAGCACTATTCTCCTAGGGCCCTTTTTTAATAACCTTTCTGCCTCTAGGTTCTGTCCTTTTCAAACTTTGGTGTATTTATATCTCTTGTTGCCACGACACTTATGATTGTCATTCCCCCAAATGTGAAACTCTCACTGGCTCATTGTTAGTTTCTGATGTCCTCCAAACACTAAGATTGGCATTTGAAGCTTTCCAAGATTGAGTGCCAAGTATCTTTGTTTCCTGATTCTCTTCATGAACTTTTTACTGCATTCAAATTAGATTACTTCCTTATCCTCTTATACTTTGTCTTCATCTCAGTTCTGTCTAGAATTTCCTAAAATCTCCTTTTCAAAATTCTACCCAATTTCCAAGACCCAGGTAAAATGTCATTTTCATAAAGCATGCCTTTCACAATTTCCCATCCTGGTTTGTTCCCTAAATGATCTTATACCTCCAGACTGTACCTAACATACTCTACTGTACATATTTTACTCATTAATTTTTGGATCCCATAGAGTCAGGGATGGGCATTTAGAGTCCTGCATTTTAAAAGATGAAATTAGGGCCAGATGTGATAGCTCACACCTGTAATCCCAGCACTTTATGAGACTGGGGTGAGCAGATCACTTGAGGTCAGGAGTTTGAGACCATCCTGGCCAACATGGTGAAACCCTGTCTCTACTAAAAATACAAAAATTAGCTGGGCGTGGT